AGAAGAAGATGAAGAAGAAGAAGAAGAAGAGAGTTTCGTAAATAATGCACGATATTTTATCTTAACACACAGTCTATTTTCTTGTGTGCAGCAAATCAAATAATCAAGCGATTGAACTTGAGACATTAATGTTAAGTCCAGGAATGGCCGTTCATGCAGCCAATAAGTTCACTGCTCTTTTGACCGGGTTAGCTTAAATTTCAAATGATTAATAGCTATATTTGTGTTGGTGCCACCGACGACAAACCTAATTCGAAATAGGTCAGAAAGAAAGAAATTATGACGATGCTACGCAGGCTTCCGTGGGTATGAAAGCTCAAGCATGTCATCTCATATATATATATATATATATATATATATATATATATATATATATATATATATAGGTAGTAATCCATTGGTATATAATCCAAGTGAATCCTATTAACACAATATAAATATAAAATATTAAAGCTCATTCACACATAGAGCACAATGCTTTTATTATAAACAAAGCAATATATTTCATCCAATCGGAATTAGGATACCATTAAGTAAATGATCATTTTCACCGTGTCAAATTAAATTTACAGGACTTTTCAAACAGTCAATAAATGATAAATTTTTGAAGAAAAAAAAACAGACAAAAGGGAGGAAAAGAAAAGAAGAAAAAAGATGGGAAAAAGAAGATGAAGAATAGAAAGAAAGGGAAGGTGGCAAATGAAACAGGAAGTGGAGTAAGTGTTGATATAGTGGTGTTCTCTCTCTCTTTCGCTTTCTCTCTTCCTTTCTCCTCTGGCCACCACGAAACGTTTTTAACATCGAAAGACATAAGGAAAATTAATTCATATTAATAATATGTGAAAGTATACACTTTTTGCCTGAGGAAAGTTGCGAGACCCGAAACGCGTGTTGCAAAATTATGTAAAATATAGCATAATATATACTTAACAAAATAAATCCACATTACAACCAAAAGCATTTTCAGTTTCTCTTTTCTTTTTAATATATACACTTTTCTTTTTTTTTAACTATAACCTCTACTCTATATATATATATATATATATATATATATATATATATATAAGAAAAAAGACTATTAATAAAGACAAAAGGAAAGCCTATCTTAGCCGACGTATTTCGACCGCTTCATGAACTTTATCAAGGCAAATGGTTGAATTTTACTTTTGCAACAAGTATTTACTTATTTTCCTTTATTAGAAATGAATATTAATCACTGAGACCCCTCCATAATTTATCTTAATACTTCAATTAGTCTAATATATGTGTGTGAGCCTTCTTAAATTTAAGAACGTTGAAAATTTAACTACGTTTATATATAGTAGTCCATCAGAGGACGAAACGCAAGATAAAGTAAGTTTTCTTTTGGTGAAGGGCTGACTCAACAGCGCCGATTAAGCGCCGGGACAACTCAGGACCGTGACAACTCAGCACCAGAAAAATATAACTTTTTTTTTTTTTATAAACGAATAGAAGTAAATTATTAAGTGTCAAAACCTTTATTATTGAATATTTTCACAGTTTTGTCACGGGGACATATGGCAAGTAGATAAAGACGTTAGTTAGATCCAGTGACAGGACCTAAAGAGTGTGAGTTCAATACCCGGTTAAGGTAGTGGAGAACTTGCAGAGGGGAATTAGCAGGCGATAACTGATAAGTGACATTAAACATGGCTCGTGGAACTAGAACAGTCTACCCCGGTGAGCGTACAACGGCCGAAACGTTTTAATAAATATGGTGACAAAGATGCGGACAATAGTTCGAATAGTGTACATAATACCTCATCTCAGAAATATAGACAGATACTCAAGTGTGTTTTGTTGAATCATTTTTTATATGTCAATTTACTTCATTAATAAATAAGTTTCTTTACAATTAACATTATCAAAAGTAATAAAAAAGAAATTGGTTGATGTTTTACATAATAACAATAGTTGACCACTCGTACTAAATAATATCCGTCTACTAGGGCGGCTATGCAATCCGTATTGTAGACGCTCGCTCAGGCACATTTGTGTTTGCTCAACACCCACAGAGTCTACCTCTGATTTATACTGCAACTATGCTGAGCAGAACTTTGTTACCGTTTCTGAGAGAGAGCTTGATCAACAGTTTGAACAAGGCCGCACGCTCCAGCCCTCGGCCATGATGACTTGCGGCTTTGTGCTAGCACAGCTATCCATCTACCCAATTTTACTTGCAAGGCTTGGGTCAACCCGTGGTATGGTTTCAGGCACTTTCCAAAGCTGCCGCACGCTGGGATCGACCTCGATCCATTCCGATATCATCAGGAAATCGCTCCTGACAAATCGACAATTGTGAGATTCGAACACAGGTCTTGGGGTCAGAAATCGAGCGATCTAACCACTCGGCCATATAATGTGTGCATAACAACTTTTCAAATGTCTTACAGGGATGCGAAGGATAAATTGTCGTCTAAATTGCACAAAAATGAAAATAAAATTGACCACTCATTTTAACATATATTTACCAAAATCACACACACACACACACACACACACACACACACACACACACAAATCTTGAAATACTAAAGGAAAATGTATTCAACAAAATCGCCATTGGCCTCCAGACGATGACATATCTCTTGCAACTCTTCTGAATGGTCTCCTTGTTTACGTCGGTGACGGCTGCCATAATCCTTGCCCTCAGTTCATATTTACAAGGAGTTTTGTTTCGTCTCAGGCTCAACTGCCCCTCACACATAATAACCAAGAGGGTTGCAGTCTGGGGAGGTAAGGGACCAGATGTAAGGAGTGATTTGGGTAGCAATATTATCTGGAAGCCATGACTGTATTCTCCTGCTTGTGTGGCATGTTGCAGAGTCTTGTTGCCAGAAATAGGGTCTTCTAGCAGCCACCTTCTTGATCCAAGATAGCCATACCTAATCAAAGCACTTGTTGAAGACCTCACTAACACATTCGGGAGTTCTTTTCTTATCAGATTGAGATTACCGATTTGCCATACCTTTGTAATCACCATTAGACTCACGCAACCCTTTCCAAATACTCTGTACTGTCCTAAGATTGACACCTAAACACTCTGAAATGTTCATATTGGAACTTCCGGTGCGAATGCCAAGCAGTACAGCATGTCGTTTCCAAATTTCTGCCTGAGTTAATTGCGTCATGGTACTCTTTTTCTCACAGACAATGGCCAACTGACCCTAATAAACGTGCATCGCGAAATTAAGAATATAAATGGTGACAAATTACCCATAATTCTCGCTTATTTCTCTTGCTTGTAGCAATGCTTAGAGGGAAAGTGTGTCGAGTGTGGTCGTCTCACCATAGCTTAGAGAGTCCATTAGCAACCATGGCTATAAGACAGATGATCAACATTTTTCCCCATTCCCCATTTTATACTTGTGCCACATTTCGTATTTTTATGCAATTAAATATAAGTCCGACAATTATTTAAATATTTAATACTGTTTTTTATATGGATAGAGCATTTACTTAAATATTTGTATGTATAAAGATAACATATAACAATAAATATATTAAAATAAATGTCTGACTTAGTCTATTTCATAATATAGGCTGTCATTTGTTTACGATAAGATACGCATCGAGCAGATATGATTATTAGAAAAAAAATCCTGGGAAATTTGTAGTTTAAAATCAATAATTCGACATTACTTACCAGGCGCTTCCTCTGTAGTTAAATGGTATAGCACGTCAAGCTATATGACGGTTCTGTGTAGGATACAGGTTCGATTCCTGTCGGAGGACACATATTTTCTATGCAAATATCTCGGACATTCAGGCCGGTAAATGTTGTTAATACTGTTTATTATAAACTAGGCATTTACTTATATATTTGCATCTATAAAAATAATGTATAACATATAAACAGAGGGTAACTTAAAATAATTGTTGGGTTTTGCCCATTTCGTAATGTGTGACGTCATTTGTTTACGTTTGGATAAGCATCGAGTTGACATGAATGTTCGAAGGAAATCATGGAATATTGTAGTTTAAAAGCAGTAAAATCGGCCATGCTAACCGGACGCACCTCTGTAGCTAAACTAGTATAGCACGTCAGACTATATGTCGGTCCTGTGTAGGATTCAGGTTCGAATCCTGTCGGAGGATACATATTTTCTATGAACGTCCCCGGACATTCAGGCTGGTAAATGTTGTTAATACTGTTTATTATAAACAGAGCATTTACTTAAATATTTGTATCTATAAAAATAACGTATAAACTATATATATAAATAATGCAGTTTTGATCGTTCCCCACATGAATATTGCATTTCCAATATTTATAACTAAGAAATGACTTTATTGTTATTATCAGACATATTTACATTTTGTTTAAATTTGCGTTTTCTACGTCGTATCAGACGTAAAATACATTCTTCTATTCCAGCTTTATAGAAAGGAAAAAAACAAAACAAAAGCAATCCATTTCCAGTCATTCGCTTTATGGAGTTGACGCCAAGAGGCACCAAAATATCTTTAAAATCAATTTCACTTCTTGATGAGTAATCAAATATTGATTGCGTGTTTTCATTTTTAGGAGCGTTACAAATACTTTGCATTTCATTCCAGGCATGCGTTTTATGGATTATTTTAAGTCAACATATTCAAGTCTTTACGAATGCGTGATTGCATGGCAAAAGTGTCTCGCACGAACGTTTATAAACAGAAACAATATTTTAATTTAGTATTTTTTGAGAGTTATGCAAAAGGAATAATTATAGCCACTATGCTGTTGTAATGATGAGTTCCTATGGCGTAGAAATCGTTTAAACTCTCAATGTACCTACTCTTTTATTCCTCATTGCTTCGTAATATTTCGTATCCTTTCGTACTCTTCCGTCTCTGGTCATTACGTCCTTTTAATTTTTCTGTCCCAAATTCCGGCCTTAACTCTAACATTTCACTTGTTCCATATTTAAATCTCTTAATTTCTATGTCGCTCTTCCTGTCTGTCTTTTTTCCTTTTCTTTCTTCTTTCTTTCCAGGCTTAGGGCCATATCACGTTGATAGACTGGTTCTCGTATGATCTCCGAAGTTAAGCAACTTCGAGTCTGGTCAGTACCGAAATGGCAGACCGCTTGTGAATACTAGGTTCTGTAAGCTTGGATGTGCGGGTGGGATAATGGATAACGGCACGGAATTAAAAACAAATGTACCGAGTTCCAATTCCGTTCAGGTTCGCTATATTCAGTAAAGCGTAAATACTTTTAGGAAAATGTAAAGGGTGTTCCAGTAACTTGGACCGATTTTAAATGTGAATTAAGTTTAAGCGTCTAATGATTTTTTTCTTTTTCTTTCAGTGTTAACAATTTCAATTTGAATTGAATGCTATGGATGTCAAAGATTTGTGGTTCCAACAATACTGCGCCATATGCCACACAGCCAATGCAACAATGGCTTTATTGAAGGAGAAGTTCCCGGGTCGCATCATCTTTCGAAACAGCGAAGTAAATTGGCCACCACGATCGTGCGACTTGAGGCCTTTAGATTTCTTTCTTTGAATTCATCTCAAAAGTAAAGTCTATGCCAACAAGCCAACGACAATTCAACAGCTGAAAGATGAGATAATAAGTCATATTGGTGAGATCGAGGAGCAACTATGCAGAGACGTCATCAAAAATTTTGGCTATCGAGTGGAGGTGTACCACCGAAGCCTTAGCGGACATTTGGGCGACATTATTTTCCCCACATAATTGCCATGACTTAAATAACATGATCCAACAGAGAAATAAATAAATTTTCACCAATAACATTGATTTATTTACTGCTGACTTTGATCCGTCTTAATGAAACACCCTATATAAATCCATCTCTCTTCAACTATTTGTTAAATAGTAGGACTTGTGTCAGTAAATCTTTATTATAAACAATTTTTCAAATCTAAAAATGTTTTCTAGTGTTAGATAACTTTCAAAATCTTGATAAACCGTAAATAATCAACAAAACTTTATGTATTTATCTTTTTATTTTTTTCAATTAATCATTTCTCATTTCGATGCTTTTTTTTCGTGAGCTTAGATTACACTGGAGCCCTTTATGGAGGAGTAAGATCCCACAAAATGGGTTACATACCTAGTAAATGTTTGCACATTCTAATATAAACGATCCTCAATACTGCAAGTTAACTGCAAAAGCTTCTAGACAAGGTAGTAAAGGAAAATTGAAAAAAAAAAGGACTGTCAATTGTAAAAACACGGAATAAATGATTGCCAGCAAGAGAAAAAAAAGCCTAGATGCGAACTACAAATTAAAGTATAACTATTTAAATATCTATGAAGTTATTTAAACGTTGACGGAAAATGTGGCCCCGAAATTCGAAGCAAAAGATGTCTTCAAAAAGCTAAACAAAGTGACGGATTGTGAAAGAGCGACAATGGAGAGAAAATTATGGAGAGCAACCCATATCCTGAAGGCACACAACGCCCAGACGATCCAACTAAACGGTTATAGACTTAAATAAAAATGACTAATATTTACCTATCCCCGAACCAAGTAAATATTTTTAGATTTCTTTTTAAAGATTCTCAACCTTTTGAATGTTGCGAAACATATTTTTGGATTATAAGAATAAATTTTCGGCGAGTGAATATTGTCTTAACAATATTTGTAAATATTAATGATTTTCAGATAGAACTACTATTTAACTCATAGCTGGGGGCGAAGTGGTGGATTCATATTTTTCCAAGGATAAGTACGTGTAAGTGCATGTAATGCACACGACTGTAATTCAAACCCAGCTCTCCATTTCTCATTTTGATCCGATATCCATTACGCCAAGCTTCACCATCTAACCTTACAACACCTTGTATATTCAAGAGATCACAATTCTAGGTACTGATCAGGGTCGACATGGCTTAACATTAGTGATCGGACAGGAACTTTTGTTTCAACGTGATATGGCCGGGAGCCTTTTGCTTTCTTTATCATTTTTTAAAATTTTCATTTTTTACTCACATTCATTTTTATTTGCTCCTGCTTTTATTTATTTTTATTTTTCAGATTCCTCCTCTTTTCTTATCCTTCATTTCTTCCATTCATCATTCCTTCCATTCATATTTCCTTCCTTCCTCCCACACATCCTTTCTTCCTCCTTTCCATTCATCATTCCTTCCTTTGACTGATCATACCTTCCTTCCATTCATCATTCTTTCCTTCATCTTATCCTTTCTTCCTTCCACTCTTCCTTCCACTCATCCTTCCTTCCTTTCATTCATCCTCCCTTACTTCCAATGATCCTTCATTCCTCCTTTCCATTCATCATTTCTTCCTTCCACTGATCATACCTTCCTTCCATTCATCATTTTTTCCTTCATCTTATCCTTTCTTCCTTCCACTCTTCCTCTCTTCCGCCCATCATTCCTTCCTTCCACTCATCCTTCCTTCCTTTCATTCATCCTCCCTTACTTCCACTCATCCTTCCTTCCTTCCTTCCTTCCTTCCTTCCTTCCTTCCTTCCTTCCTTCCATTCATCATTCCTTCCTTCGACTGATCATACCTTCCTTCCATTCATCATTCTTTCCTTCATCTTATCCTTTCTTCCTCTCACTCTTCCTTCCTTCATTCCCCCTTCCTTCCTTCCTTCCTTCCTTCCTTCCTTCCTTCCTTCCGCCTTTCCTTCCTTTCTTCCTTCCTCCCTCCCTTCCTTCCTTCCACCCTTCCGCCTTTCCTTCCTTCCTTCCGTCATTCCTTCATTTCCCCTCCTTCCTTCCTTCCTTCCTTCCTTCCTTCCTTCCTTCCTTCCTTATTTTCTTCCTTCCTTTTTTTTTCCTTCCTTTTTTTCTTCCTTCCTTCCTTCCTTCCTTCCGCCCTTCCTTCCTTTCTTCCGTCCTTCCGTCATTCCGTCATTCATTCATTCCCCCTGCCTTCCTTCCTTCTTTCCGTCCTTCCTTCCTCTCTTCCTTCCTGCCTTCTTTCTTTCTTTTCTTCCTTCCTTCCCTTCCCTTCCTTCCTTCCTTCCTTCCGTCCTTCATTTCTTTCTTTATTTTTAGATTTCTTTCCTACTTTATGTCTTCTATTTCCTTTTTCATCTTCCCTTTCTTACAATTTCTTAATTCATTCTTCCTATCTTCCTTCTTCCCTTATTTATCTCCATTCCTTCCGCTCATCTTCCTTCTTTCTTTCTTTCCTTCTTTTAGTTTGAAATTTATTTCTCAGTTTCTCTTTTGAACTCTTCCTTTTTTTTCCACTTCTCACCATTCCATTATTCATTCATTTATTCATTCGTTTAATCTTTTCTACCCCACTCCTTCCCTTACTTACCTCTATTCCTTCTTTTCTTTCTTCTTTTTAAAATTCCATTCCTCACTTATATCACTTTAAATCTCTTTTTCATTTTCCTTCTTTCTCACTTCTTCCTTTTCTTTTTTATTCCTCTTCATTCCTTCCCTACTCTATTCCTTTCAATCTTTTTTCATACAAATATCTTACTCATTTTATTCTCTCCTTCCATTTTTATATTCGTTTCATGCTTTTAACTTTTATTTTTTCCGGAAAGTCTTCCGCATGTTTTAACTGTCAATCCTTGGAAAATCCAAACATTTCTCTCTGCGTTTTCTGGAAGAAAAAAAAACTGCGATCGATTTAATCCAGTGTCGAAAAAGAAATAGCTATCGAATTATTGAAAAGATCGATGAGATTGCATTTTCTCCAGAATGTCAACGCAACACCTGTTTTCGAATTCCTCCTATAGTTGCGGCCGTTTTATTTTTTTCTTGAGTTTTCCAAATCATTTATTTCGAGATGAATGATATACAAGCTAAATGGCATCTTCAAAAGAGAATTTCTTTTGGCTGTTCTCTGCAGATATAATTGTAAACTGAGTATTGGCACCTTGGTAGATATCGTTAACCATAGCACGACCAAGAACGACAATCACCAGGACAGTGAGAATCATATTTATCCGAAAATCATTTCGAATTAATCGTTATTAGATTGTTATTCAAAATTAAAATTATTTTATTCGAAACAAGTATTTTGCTCAAAGAATTTGCGAATAGATATTTCAAACTTATTCGGACAACTGAAAATGTTCTTTGATTTCTTCAGTTTATTATTAAAACCATTAATCGAGCGATTCTTTGTCAGGTGCTTATGTCCATTAGAAATGACCTTAAGCTACAGGATACATAGAAGTAGAATTGTAGAAGACAGAATTGAAAAAAAAAACATAACTTTTGACTCCAAAAATCTATGGATGATTTGGTGTGCAAAAAATAATGTAACTCCGAGTACAGATTTATATACTCTAAATTGCTGTGTAAAAATCAACGTGGCGTAGAAGTTGACATTAAGATTTTTAGCTCAAGATTCTGAACAAGAATACCTACCTTATAGGTCAACCTTCAAACATACGGTAGACTACAGTGACCCCAAAACATAGGTCTACCGTGAAATAAAGTTAGGCTACAGTATATGATAGATAATCTGTGCCAAAACTATATAAGTTCACACGACTTACCTGTATATTGAGCCACTAACCGTACTATCATTCTATATCCGATGAATAAAAAACTACAGCACACACAGGTAGGTACTGCATATTGTATAGGTATAACTTAACGAACATTTAAAATTATTCAGGTATACTGATAAACACATTAAATATCAATACCCTGGATTACACATCATACCAGGTAGATTTTGTATATTAATGCTACGTATATCTTATTATAAAACAATGTGTCACTCATCAGCCATTTATATCAGTGATGCAAAAATGGCAGCCTGATTTCGTTATCAGCTAATCGGTGTGACGTGTGATGCAGCGTTAATATATTACTAAAATTGTTTTAATATTTTATTAATTTATATCAATGTATGTGGTAATAAGCTAAATATGTTCCCTAAATACAAGTTTGAGTAGGATATTTTATTGACAACTTGCTGAAAGTACGGTAAATGGTGTATAGTAATTGTTACGAGTACTGCCACAATTGTTTACAACTTGGTGATAAAGGTTTTCACTTATACCAGCCTAGTTTGGGAATGATGTTTTTAGGCTTGAAAACTCCATTTGTATCTGCAATTTATGGCAAATTAAATGAATGATTTCCTTTTGTTATTCATAATTTGATAAAGATTATTGTCATGCTAATAGTGAGA